AGTTATCCTGAGTAAAAACGTACCCACACCAGAGTCAGGATGGGGATTTTGCAACACAAACCTAGGAGTTTTGTGAGTCACGCATGACAAGTTGCGCTCTGCAGTGTAGTGCAGGTTAGCAAGCGCAGCCGCATCACAGATTCATCTGCTCATCCTGTTCACAGCATCACAAATTCCAAAACACGATTGGAAATGGCTCTCATGCGGATGCGCATTACAAGTCTTCCTGTCTTTGCAAATCTGCATTACAACTCTGGCGTGGGTACGTTTTTACTCAGGATAGCAGTGTTGATCGACTTAGGTTTGGCGGAAATGTTCGACAAGAATTCCGGGAAGATATTACAATGAAAAATGCCCCCACCCCCGAACTTGAAAGCATTTGTATTGCAAACCTTTCCAAATGAAACATTCGCCCTCTTGCGTGTATCAGCATCACAGATTTCCGATCGTGAATAGCAAAAATTTGTATTGCAAAAGATCCCAGCAAGAGCGGTGCTTGTCATGCGAGCGATGCGAAACACCACGAGAATCTGCATCAGAAAGATTCATATTCCTTTCATGCATGACAAAAAATTTTCATTTGGAAACTTCGCATCACAAATTTTTGCCACTTTGGGGGTGGGGGGCACTTTTCACTGTAATAGAAGAGCACCAACATCTCCGGCACGCCCGTGACCATGGCGCCGGAGGTCTGGAACCAGTCGTTCGGCGCGAAGTGTGACGTGTGGAGCTTGGGCGTCGTGCTCTTCCAACTGCTCTGCGGGAAACTCCCCTTCATCGCGAAAACGTGCAAAAAGAAGGACTGGCTGGCGGTGCTGCGGCTCCCGCCAAACTGGGCGTTGTTGGACCACTGCTCCTTCCAGGCGCAGGCCTTGTGTCGGGCCATGCTGACCTATTCGGACACGTCAAGACCGAGCGCGAGTGAGTGCTGCCAATACGACTGGTATAAATTTTTGTGAAGAAGGCTGGAGCTAACTTCCAGTCTTTGCTGGTGGTGTTCTATTTATTTTACCGCTTTTTGTCGTGTCGTCTGCAAAATAAACTTCGGAACGTTAGTACGGATCATGGTCATCTCGTTAGTTGTTCAAATTCAAAAATAAGCACACCGCATCTACTTCACACAGGGTCCGCGACGCGAATTCGCAAAAATCTTCCCCCCTCCCCGAGAACGCCATTCAGTCGCTGTGCCAATTTCACGAAAGGTCGGATTTGGAAAAAGTGGTGCGCTATCAAATGCAAAAATGTCTGGGTCTGGAAAGTTGGAACTTGTGATGCTAACTCTGGACTCTAAAAAAATCTGTATTGCATGACCAGCAAGAGGCGCCACATTTGTGCTACGCGAGGAGGGCATTTGTCATGCGGAAATGACATCAGGAAGCCTTCCAAAAATCTGCGATGCTGGGTCATGCATTACAAGCATCATGGGTCATGCCAGACAAGCAGGACAAGCCTTCCATTCTTCCAGACCCAGACATTTTTGCAATCCATATGCGCATGCAGGTTGCTTCCCAGCTTTCCGCGAACAAACTGCCGAAGTTATTGAAAGGAAAAACTCCCCCTCCCCATATCAAAAGGCATGTTTCCGAAAATTTGCGTTGCTGATTTGAGGTCACAAATCACGTTTGTCTTGCAAGAAGACAAGGGCAAAAGCTTCGCGCCCATTATGGAAGCGGTTTGTCATGCTGTTGGGCCTAAAGGGCAGCCGTTTGCCATGTTGAGCAACTAGACCGATGCGTCTCTACATGGCCTGGGGATCTGGCCGCAATGCCCTCCTGCAATACAAAGCATTTTTGTGTACGCAAATCCAGCATCAGAAATTTCGTTTTGATATGGGGAGGGGGGATTTTTCCCTTCGATAGAAGTTGAACGCGATCTTCAAGAAGTACGACGTGGACAACAACGGCACGCTCTCCATGGAGGAACTGGCGCAGGCGTTGCAGGAGCTCGGGGTCGAGCAGTCCACGTGCCACCGAGCCGCGCAGGCCCTGGATTTGGATCAGTCGGGCGAAGTGGAGTACACGGAGTTTGTCGCGGGGTGTTTGAACTTCTTCGACGACAACCTGGACCACATGCTGTGGCAGGCGTTCCAAAAGTTTGACAAGGACGGGTCCGGATCCTTGTCCGTAACCGAGATTGCGGAGCTGTTGAGCAAGGGGAGCGAAATGGGGCTGGGAACCCTCTCGCCGGACGCGAACCAAGTGAAAGCCATGATCGCAAAGTTGGACACAAACGCCGACGGGGAGGTGGACTGGGATGAATTCCGAAGATTTTTCACACCCAAGCTGGAGTAGGTGGAAGTGGTGTAGTTGGAAGTGGAACACGAGCAACGAAGCTTTTTACAGAACACAATAAATTTACATTTTGCAATTTCAACAATTCAGACGTACAATGTTGAGTAAAACTTTTCAAAAGCAGGAGACTGTACTGAAGTTCGTGTTTGAGAACGAGCCGTGTCGTGGTTGCAAGAATTGTGCAATCCGACGGTAAATAGTTGCCGCGGCTGGATCATATCTGACATTTTGAAAAAAGAGTAGAACTGTGCTGTGATTTTTTGGAAGAGAAAAAACTCTCATCGGAGGATGACATCCGACTGCAACGACATTTCTATTTCCGGAAGCATCGCCGATCAGTGGTGTCTGCGCGCTGCAATGTCTTGAAACACGAGCAAAGGAAAGCGAAAGTGTTTCCCGTTCTGGAAAATTTATTTCACAGACCAAAGCTCTCTACTAAAACTAAATAGATGGTAAGAAAGACGAATGCAGCTTCGTGTGCCTACTGCAGCAGGTCATTGCAACTGCTCATTGTAACTTGACCACTTTATGACTTTTCCGAGCGATAGTTGTGAGAGGTCGTTTTTTTTCTGTCCGGGCGAGAGGGTTTGCGGTTGGTGTCATAGGGTGAGTGATGTGCTGTTGTCTCTGTACGAATGCATGAACACCACGACTGCAATAAATCTACTACTGCGTGGTCCTCTTTGCATGAGAATGAAAAAACTTTTTGACCGTCCAAATTCTGGAACCACACTATAAACCTAGCCTCTACTGCATGCGGCCCGAGTCGAGTTGGATGGTGCCGAATTGTTCGGAGCCTCGTTTTATCGAGTGTAAAAATGTCTGGGTCTGGAAGAATGCGCGATTTGTCATGCTGCTTTTCCATGACCCATGAGGTCTGGAATGCCGGAGCTAGCATGACAGATTCTGCGAGACCTTTGTAATGCCTATCCTGCATGAGAAACTACCTCCCGAATTGGTCAAACTTGGGCGACTTTTGGTAATCATGCAACACAGATTTTTGCATGCTGCAGATTTAGCATGAGAAGTTGCATTCTTCCAGACCCAGACACTTTTGCATTTGATACGTTTTTTCCGGTGACCGCCGGCGTGAGGATCATGGGTCTGGTCTATATCCTGAGTAAAAACGGACCCACACCAGAGTTGTAATGCAGATTTGCAAAGACAGGAAGACTTGTAATGCGCATCCGCATGAGAGCCATTTCCAGTCGTGTTTTGGAATTTGTGATGCTGTGAACAGTATGAGCAGATGAATCTGTGATGCGGCTGCACTTGCTAGCCTGCACTACACTGCAGAGTGCAACTTGTCATGCGTGACTCACAAAACTCCTAGGTTTGTGCTGCAAAATCCCCATCCTGACTCTGGTGTGGGTACGTTTTTCCTCAGGATAGTCTATGCGACTTCTTTACCTCCTCCTCTACCGGCCCGCGGTGGGCGCGCCGCTGCAAACCGGCACTTTGCTGAAATCGTCGTCCTCTGCTCCAGCAGCGACCTCCACAGGAGCAGCTGTGCCGACTTCTACACCGCAGAAGACATCACCGACGGCCCCTGCAGCTTCTGCGGTTGTAAAAAAGGTGGCGATAAAACAGACCACTAGTCGTGCGACATCGTCGTTAAGGGAGACCTCCTCGTCGTCCACGACGGCACTGGGCACAACTGGTACAAGTTCTTCCAAAAAGGAGCACGTCAAGAACGGCCAGGGACAAGCTGAAGCGGAAAAGAAACCCGTGTCCTCGCCGCCGAAGCCGGCGAGTGCCTTGAGTGCGGAAAATGTCGCGGGGACGCCGGCGGCGGTTACCAGTAGCAGAACAAGTGCTGCTGGGACGACCAGCACGACCATCCCCCGCAACAATAAACACGGACACGCCAGTACCCATTGGCACGTGCTGACGGGCCGGTCGTTTGGAAATGGTGGGACGCTATCCTCTTCGCAGCAGCAGCAGCAGCAGGAGACCCCTTCCACTGCCAAAAAGAAGCGACAAGAGGAAATCTTCCCCGGCGCGCTCGTGCCCACCGGGGTCCCGGCTCCGGGACGGTCCAAACTGGACGCCGATGCGAAGAATGTGGAGGAAAAACAGATCATCACGGAGCAGCCGGACCGGCTTCGCGGGCCTAGTAGGAATGTTCGACCGGGAGGTGGAACAAACGCCGGCGCAAATACTAACGCCGGCGCACCAACGGGTGCTGCAGCAAAGAAACAAGCGCGCAAGAACAAGCAGCAACGAGGACCTCCCAGTGGCACGGCCCAGCGCCTGCCGCCGGCGGGTTTGCAACCCGGGGTTGGTCAAGTTCCCGGCGGCATTTTACCGGGCTCGCCCGTATTGGCCAATGAAGCGGGGATTGCCACCACCATGACGGAATTCCGAATGCAGGCAAACGACACCGGTTCATCTTCGGGGATCATCGAGCCCACGTCTGCGGAAGCAGCGGGCAGTAGCAGTTCCTGGGGTAGTAGTACCAGCGACGGCGTTGAAACAAGCTTGGGCAGTGAAGGAGTTCTGGTTCCTGATGGTGCAGCGGCCATGTTGAGCTATCCCGGTTTTGGTCCACCTTCAGGAGCAGGAGAAGTAACAGAAACAGCTACCGCTGGAGCAAATAATGATCCAAGTGGTTCGGGTTTACAGCTACTGGAAGTGGAGGACGGGGAGCAGCTGCAGCAGCAGGAACAAGATCAAGATAATCCAAGTGTTGACACGTCGACCAATACGAATTCCCCGACATCTTCATCCTCTTCACCGCCGGAAAACTCCTTGGCCGCGAGCGCCGCGGCGAAAAAAGTGGACAAAAAGAACAAGGCTGAAGCCACTACGTCCGGTTCTAGTAGTACACCAGCAGCAGGCGCAGCATCGTCATCATCGAGTGGTAGTAAAAAAGACGAGTACGCGCAGTTTTCGCTTGACGCCAAAACCGCAAAAGAGGTGATGCTGGAGGCGGCGACGAAAATGCTGTCGTCGGCTTTGGAAAAAAGCGGGACGAAGGACTTGTATCCTGAGTAAAAACGTACCCACACCAGAGTCAGGATGGGGATTTTGCAACACAAACCTAGGAGTTTTGTGAGTCACGCATGACAAGTTGCACT